TGCCGTTTTCTGAAGACGTCAGCAAAGGGTCCTAAGAGGAAGACAACAGCATCCAGAGCCCGACTCCACTGAGGAAGCGCTTCAGGATTTAATATAAAGTGAAGCATGTCGAACACCAGCAAGCCTGAACAAAGTGGTAAGTAGTAAATAGTGTTTAAGGTTGTTTCTAAAATTCTGTCCTAAAATACTTGAAAATTGTGGAGGTTTTAACTTTTATTCTTTCTTTTCTGCCTCTTGTTTCTAAAAGTCAGGAAAAAGAGTCACGCTGAGAAGAAACTCCACACAGAAGATTCTCCCTCATTAAAATGGTAAATATATTCATCTTGTTATGATGTTTGCTCACAATAACCAGGAGTGTTCCTGTTGTTCTCAAGTGATTCACTCTCATTTGGTGTTATTTGTTCCAAAGACAGAGTGTTCAGAGCAGCGTGAACGGCAGTGACCTGAGAGCAAGAGAGTCCTCGTGCCTTTGTGGATCCCTTCAGGTACTCCAGCTTCTTCCCACAGTCCAGAGCGATGCAGTTAGGTTGAATGTGAGTGTGAATGGTTGTGTGTTTCTCTGTGTTAGACTGGCCACCTGTCCAGGTTTTGCCCGCCTCTAGCCCCATAACAGCTGGGACGGCTCCAACCTTGAACCAGATAAGCAGAAGTAGGGCTGAACGATATATCGCATTTGCGATAATATCGCGACATGATCAAGTGCAATTTTCTAACCGCAAAGGCTGCGATTATACTCTGGACATGTCCAAATTCATGGGCTGCATCCTCCTGAGGCCGCATTTGTAGACCGATTACGTCACAGCGACGCGCCGAAGGCTGTCCAAATTACTACCATATCCCAGAATTCATAGCGCGGCCCAGCCAAACTCCAGTTTCCAGCAATGGCGGCCGCTACTAAGTTTTAAAATTACTCATACTAATCTTTCTGGGTCACAAAATAAACTTTTAACATATTTTCAGGCGAGAAAGTAGTTGTGTAAACATCAAATATCTGCTCGGTTTATCAAGATATCCCATATTTGCAAAAGTGCTTCGACGTTTTCAGAGGCGTCTGCTACCCACCAGCTCGACAGCTAGCCGGGAGCTCGAGGGTTACTGATGCGGCCGAGAACGGCACAACTCCCGGCACATCATTTTCAGATCACCGCGGAGTTTCGCTGCTCGGGTTAAACGTAATATATAAGTCACTTAGACAACCTAAAAATGTTATTGTTGGGCTTTTTTCAGTGTTTTGTTTGTTCGTGAGTAAATCGGTTTGGCTGAGATTAAAGTTATTAGATTAGATAAAATAAAACTTTATTAATCCCCCGGGTGGGTTCCTCCTTGGTTTTCACACAGCTGACTAAACGTCAAACAGAAAACTTATTAAACAGAAGTATGAGACAGTCGAGAATTTACACCAGTGTCTGGTTATATTTTAGACAGCAAGAAGCAGACGGCCGAGTTTATTAAACTCCACCGAGACAGCGGTGACGCTAATCAGAACTAGACCGTCCAATTTCACGCCTTTAAACTTTAAAGGCGTGTTTGTGTGTGTGTTTATACAATTGCTATTATGTTTGCACTTTATGTGTAATGTTACTGACTGCAGAGATCAGTAAGATGTGTGTATTTTTTATTTATTAGTTTTATTTATTTAATATTATTTTTTAATTGAATGACTGTCTAGTAGTTCACAGATGTCGAAAAACTGAGTGTGGTAAAGCCACTGATTTTGTTTATGTATATTTCTGCAATCTGCACATTGTACTGACTTTCATTTTAATGTTTACACCAGGGTTCCTTGTCAGCACTTTATGCTCAGATGTTTGTAAGCTAAAAATAAACTATTGTGTATGTTCAAATATACTGTTGTGATTGAAGAAGTTAAATAAAAATGTCAGTCATCAATTCATGCATCACCTCATGTCATCATAACAGAGGTCTGTCTTCCAGGAAAGAACAGTTTAAAATTAATGTAATATAGTATTGGCCATACTATATGATGTATTGCTTGTCTTTGTTTAATAATACAGAAGACAAAGACCTTAAAAAATAATCGCATCGCAATCGCAATATTGGGGCAAAAAAAAAAAAAAAAAAAAAAAAAAAAAAAAAAAAAAAAAAATCGCAATTAGATTATTTTCCATAATCGTTCAGCCCTAAGCAGAAGAGATGGATGGAAAGATGGAAGGATGATCCAAAGAGAAACATTAAAGGCCCTCTCACCAAAACAAGATAAGAATGCATTTTACATATGAATCTTCATTCATTCATTCAAATGTTGAAACTAGGGCTGCCACAAACGATTATTTTGATAGTCCACTAGTCATCAATTATTTTTGCAATTAGTCGACAGCCTATTGCACCAGCATGCATCTGCTCTAATATAACTATCATTAGCTTACAGCATGAAGTGTTTAAGAGAACAGCATGCTCCTCGTCAGATTGATGGGAGGAAAAGAAAATTCTAGAGTTTAACTAGGTGGCTGCTATGCTCACAGAACTGGGATGGTTTCAATGAGCATGTAACCAACATAACCAAGGTAGGTAGTGGACATGCTGTTCACCTGCTCCCTCAATCTCAAACAATGCTTCAATTGGCTGAATGGGGAGATGTGCAAGTTTATCTTTCTGAAACAATTAGCACATTGTAGTGACTTGTGAACCACAATCCATCATGGAATTGCATTGCACACCCTCACACAAAACAGAAGCTGCACAATGAGGATCTAGCAGACTGGCTGGCAAGCGAGATTTGGAATCAAAATCTTCAACCATTGTCTGGGTTTTTATTTTTCTCTGAAAATGAATGCTTTGGTCAAATAAGGTGGGATTGATGCTGGTCTCAGCTCCTGGGCGTCCCACAACAAGAGCTGCTACAAGTTTAAAGTAAAAGGCTCAGTAACCTGTTGGGCTTGGAACCTTTCTTGCTTTGCCTGACAGACTAGTGTCTGGTTAGGTTCATTCAGACGTCGAGCAGCAGTATGGTCATCTTCACCACATCTAAAGCTGAACCACACTTCTGGCAGACAGGGAACCTTAACAGGTCTCCTGCCACTGCTGTTTCTTGCCATTAAGTAATCTTTGCCATCACTTATTTTCTTTAGGACATTTCTGGTACCGAGCGAGCTCTCTAAGTTTCTTAGACAACTGATCTGTCTTATTTTGAAGTTTAACAGTTTGTTTTCTCTGTTTTGACGCTGCACTAAGCTCACTGTCAAAAGGAGGATTCATGGACCTTTGGCTCAGTTTCTCTACTTGCTTTGCAAGCTTATCCAATCTCCTTTCAAGCTTAGATGCCTTGCTCTGTTTTGTAGTCTGTATTGGCACAGGCTCATCATCATAGGAGGGTACAACGCAATTTCATTGTTCTTGACAATGACAATAAATAAATAAATACTAAAATACATCAAAAATGGAGTGGGCATGTACAGCTGACTTTTGTAGAACCAAGATATTTTTTCATCTTGTCTAGCTTTGCAGATCTAGCACCTTCCTCAGTTCTCAACACAAGGAGTATTTCTGAAAATGCTGGTGGACTGTTCTTTTTGTTCTCTAGCTGGAGAGCTATGATGAGACTCATCCCAGCAGCCTCTATTGAACTGTCTTAGCAGGTGTTTCAACAGAGACTCCCCCTCTAGAAGTAGAAGTAAGGAGGCTATGGAGTCTGTTCAAATATGCTGAGGGCTTTTCTCTGCTATTCTGACTGGAGCTGAGAAAGGTTGCAAAAAAAAACAAAAAAAAAAACAAAAAACCTCTTCTCCGTTATCTACAAGACTAAAAGCAGAATCAAGCTGCGTAATATAAGCTCTGGGTGGGGAGCTCAAACCAAACAACTTAAAAACATCTGTCGCTGGACTGAGCAAACTTTCAAGAATGTTCCTAACCCTAAAGGAAGAATCACTGAGGGGAAGATCCACTTGTATACCTCTTCCTGAGCAACATCTCAAATGGTTTTAACAAACGAACCAACAGCAGGATTCTTGGGGCTAGGCTAGTCACCAAAGACCTTGGTTGATCTTGGGAATGGCTTGATCAGACGAATATTCTACCAGGACTCTACCTTCTGGATGGTTTGGTTCATCAGGAATCCGAACTATCCGAGAAACTTCACCATTAACTGAAAAAAAAAAAAAAACACTAGCACTGTCATCATCTGTTTAAATCCTTTCAATTCCAGTCACAAAAAGTGAGCATTAGCTATCTACATCAGCGGTCCCCAACCCCCGGGCCTCGGACCGGTACCGGTCCGTGAGTCGTTTGGTACCGGGCCGCGAGAGTTGAGGCTCAGGTGTGAAATGAATGGTTTTCAGGGTTTTTATCGTTTTTCAGCGTTATTTTGTTATCGTTTTTATCGTTAACTCGGTTTTCCTGGGTCTTTTCACGTGTGTTATGAATAAATCATTTTTTTGGTACCGGTACTAGTTTTATTTTGTTGTATTTATCCGCGACACCTTAAAGGCCGGTCCATGAAAATATTGTCGGGCATAAACCGGTCCGTGGCGCAAAAAAGGTTGGGGACTGCTGGTCTACATTAAAGCATCTGCAAAGGTACAATGTCCAACTCAATGCGGTTGAGAAAAATGAAAAGGTGGGTGTTGTGAGCTGGAAAGTCAAGGTGCTACTATCGTCCAATCTCCTGGCTGGCTCTCCACTTGTAACTCAATCTGTACTTACACCAAAGCATTAATGCTTGGAAATCAGGACTGTCTGTATCATCAATTTCACCACAATGTTTTAGCCCCCCCCCCCCCCAAAAAAAGAAAGAATCACAATTTGTATAGAAAGAGGTTACAAGAATTGAAATGTGTCCCAAAACTCTGTAACCCATCAGAGGCTAGTTTTGTAAAGGAGTTTGGTAGTAGCTGCTCCACCATAGGAACAGTAAGACCTCCAGCACACAACGAACACCACACTCACTTAACATAGACACATTTATTAAAACACAATTTTAAACAATAACCCTTTTCTTTTACTGTCTTTCCACTCAGTGTTCCCCAAAAAAAACAAAAAAAAAAAACAAAAAAAATTTATCAAGGTCCTTTGGCCAAAAAACAAACAAACACCTGAGCTCAGGGAAAGGTAAAGTGCAACGTTGGGGCCCTCCAATTTGTTCCTACCACCCTGTTGGAACAGTGTAGTATCCAGTAACAGCATCCAGAAAGCAGAAGCATCCACTTGCAGCAACGACCATCTACCAGGTAGGATGTTTCAGTGGAGTCATCAGATGAGGAACATCATCCAGTAGGAACAGGATACCAAAGGAAAAACCAGCCTACACACACCCGGATGCTGGAGAATTAACCAAAGCATATTCATGACTTCCAGTATCACTAACGGCTCATCTAGCAGTCTCAACATCATAAAAAATACAGGCTTGTTCATGTAAAAAAAAAAAAAAAAAAAAAAAAAAAAAAAAAAAAATTCTTAGGCATAAACACATCAACTCGGTAATTGACCTTGTATCGGCCGCCATATTATGAGGGTAGCCAGGCTTGCTTAGCCGCTAGCTTGCTAACATTCAGCTAAGCTCATTCACACATTCTAGAACATTTAGCTTTCTTCCTCAACAAAAAAAAAAAAAAAAAAAACAAAAAAAAAACATCCCAGCAGTTAACTTGACACCTGGCTGCAGCATAAAAATGGACATAATATTCAATGTAAACATGAGCTCCAAGCTAACTCACCAGAGGAGTTGGTGTAATGGCGGATGCTTGTCGGACTCGGCTCAGCGCGTACCGCTTCATGATTTCTCTCTCTAACAACACATTAAAGCATCAGTTTTAAGTACAAATGTTTTGTAAACCTATCTACAGTGACTGGTGTTAAATGTACCCAGGTTTCCAGATCGCAGAGGGCACCAGAACAGCATGCATCTCACCAGATCGACGGGAGGAAAAGAAGAAATTCTGCAGTTGGACTAGGCCTTTGCTCACGGCACTGTGATGCGTTCAATGACTGCCAAACAGTGTTGCCAAATCCTCAGTAAGGAAAATCGCTATTGGTTGTCCTAGAAGTCGCTAAATGATGTCATCGCCTAATTTGCATAATTGGCCATGCTAATGTTACATTTGTAGATCCTTGGACAGTACACCTAGTGCGTTAATCCAGCATTTTAGGTTTTTTTCATTAATTACACCCTGCAGGCAAAAAAATGTGTTCTCGTTTGATCCTAAGATGAATGTTCACTGCAGTTTACGTTTACGTGACCATGCGTGTGCAGGTTTTAGAATGCATTTAAATTTTTATCATAGTTCTTCTGGACATGTTACATGTAATATTCAAAATCCACATCAGTCAGATATTACTGAACATGGATCCCAGTTTAAATTAATTTGTGGGTGCGATATATTTCAAAGAGAAGCGAATCATCTGCTTTATATAAACAATATCCAGTAAACAACACTTTCATTTATGTACATCTTTTTAAAACATTAGCTTTGATTTTCAAAAATGCAGAAGTTTCATGACACATGAATAAACCAGCTATGTGTGAGGATTTTTCTGATGACAGATGTTACAGACATCAACCATTATTCTCAAATGGCACAATGCAAATTTAAGTTTATGATGATGACTGAAACATCAAATTCTCCTAGGGTAGGGGTCAGCAACCTTTAACACCCAAAGAGCCGTTTGGACCCCGTTTCCATGGAAAAGAAAACACTGGGAGCCGCAATTACTTTTTGACATCTAAAATAAAGATAACTCTGTTATTGTTCTTTACCTTTATGCATAGGTATTAGAAAACAGTGGTTTCAATAAGTATCACTGACTGAACAATGCACAAGTAACTGGTGATAATTGAGGTTTGAACTCAGTTCTTAGTTATGTTGAATCGTTCTCTGCAAGCTACGACTGTAGAATGTGTTTTACTGACAAAGTATTTAGTCAGAAGGTGCTTCATTTCAACTGAAAACATACTCCAGCGTGTTTGTGTATCAGTTTTAGCTTTGTGGATAAAAAGAATCGTTCAACAAACAAAAACTTGTTTTGGCTTCAGTCTTAATGCCAGTCAAACGCTGTGGCTCATTCGGACTATTCCTCTAATTCTTGGTGATGTTGTCCCTAATGGCTCCAGCCATGAACTAGATAAGCAGAAGAAAATGGATAGATGGATCAAAGGATGATCCAAAGAAAAACATTAAAGGGCCTCTCAACAGCTTTCATTTATTAAATTTGTCTTTACTAAACAATTTCTGGTGTGTATTTGCATTGATACTCAGACAGCAGCTCACATGTCCTCTTTCTGTTTGTGGTGGAAGATTCAGGCAAACACATATAGATTGTTATTTATATGCAGTGTTTTACTTTTCAAACCATTTAGGCGTGTAAATGAGTTTCATGTATAATCTTATTTCTGTTCTTCGTTTAGAATCGTATTGTTTGGTCTGACCTATTTTTTTTTCCAGCGGTAGAGACTAATGATGTTCAGGTGTGTGTAAAGTCCTGTATAAAGCAAGTGGGATTTTGCCTACCAGGTTGGTTGTTTTATGGTAGAATGGAGATGCCAGAAATAAAGTATACTTAAAAGGAACTTGACTAGTATGCTGATGCTGTTCACTTATCACCCTCTTTGATGTTTATCTTATGCTACCCGACAAGAGAACATGCTTTAGAAATCAAATCCAAAATTGAATAATTTGTTCTGAAAAGTATATAAACATATGTAAACATGTGTAAACACTTTGGTGAAAATAAGAAGAACTACATTTGAAAATGAATGATTGGAATCCAGACTTTTGACTTTTTTGGTTTTCCTCTTAACATTTTTGTTTTCCAGCTTTTCTAGAGGGAAAATCATTTATTACATCACTGCAAGAAATCTGATGGCCAACTTTGTTGTTAAAACTGTTACAAAATCAGTTTTACCCAGGTTCTTTTATTCGTCGAAACTTCCAGAGACGGCACCGGAACTCAGTAGTCATTTCACAAAACCTTTATTCATCTTCATTTAAGCATGCACTTCTAGAAGGGAAGACGAGGCCGGTGTGTCCCTCTCCAAATCTTCACCCCTTTGTTAGTTACAGCCAGCTTTATAGAGGCGTCCCCATCATAAAACCCCCCACGGTGTGCTGCAAACTGTGTCTGTGTGCACGAGCACATGAATGCCTACATGTGCGCGTTCCCACGTGTCTATGTGAGTGCTCGTGTGTGACTGTGTACGCATACCTGTGTGTATGTGTGAGTGCACATGAGTGAGTGTGCGTGTGGATGTGTGTGCGTGACAGTTAAAACACTGTGGGTGTAGGTGACTCCCTAGAGGTCATAAAAACCCATGTCCCTTCCAGACCACAGTTATCCAGTTACAAATGTTGAGACCCCCACCCAAACATTCTCTGGGGAATTTCCACTCAGCATTAACTCCTCTCTGTTTTACTCTCACAGTTCAAGTGGGGGAGGGGTCTCCTACAATCTACTCGTAAGTTCATGACAGAATCAGGCCTTTATTACATTGAGGGCAGTGTCAGTGTCTCTACAATAGTTCTACATTCTATGTTAACACATTTCTAAACTCTAAAATAAGCTAAACACTCTACAATACTAATTACTGCCAGTCCACTCAGTCTTTCTTGTGCCGTGGAAGGTCTGTGGTAGTTGTTTAAGTACACAGTGAAGGGCAAATGATGCTGCTGTCTCCCTGTCAGCTGTGTTCTCTCATCTTCAGAAGTCTGGACTCGTGAGCCAACGTGCCAAATAAGAACTATCAAGTATGCATGTATGATCTCTTTACTTGGTACTGAGAGATGGCATCTAAAGGAATCGACTCTGGACTAAAGCAGTGTTTTAACCATTTCATTGTTAGCGCCGCCCCCTAACTCTGATGGGTGAGGTTGACAGATGAAATAAATTCATGGTGCAGTGCATCACAGTAACCATGGAAAAAATTAATAATCAACTGCTTCTAAATAATGAATGAATCAGTTGGTTTGAAATGAATTAACAGTTTATTTATATACTAAATACATTTATTTCCAATTTAACTCATGTGATTTAATGAATTTGACACTCATTATTTAATAATTGTTTATTTTAATTTTAGCACTCTTGACACTCCATAAATTACACGCTCAACTACTTGCTTGGAGATGTGTTTTTTTTTTACAGTTATCTTTAAAGGAGAGTGTTTAGCACAATTTTCCATGTGCCAACCAATTACACATATATATGGAAAAAAAGTGACAGTGTAAAGTCAACATGACTATTGCTAGGATCACCATATCCATTCTTTCCTTTATGAATACTCATATCATATTTTTCATTGAATAATTTTTTTTTCATAATTATTCTCTATCTGATAAGAATTTAAAGTGTGAGAGTGATGGGGGGCATTTGGCTCTTATGTCTACCAGCAGACAGTTTTGTAAGTGAAGCATTAAAGGCTTAAATAAAAATAAAGAGACCGATCATGATAATGACAGCACCACACAAACAGGCTCGTGTTTTATTTAAAGATTTGAAATACTACAAGCTACAAATCTGTACAGCTGAAAGCTGAATTGGTGTAAACATTAAGAACACTGCTGCATTACTGAACGTAATTACTAAAAGACAAAAATGTGAAAACCCAGTAAAACTTCCTAAACTTAAACCACTTTCTTTCTTTTTTTAAATAACTGAACTGACCTTAAAATGAACAAACTCTTAAAATAACACTGATTATAATTATTACAATGTGTGCAACGATATTCTAGGTTATTAATGAATCCCTCATTAAAGTAAATGAGTTGTCATTAAAAACAGGTAACTGCCGTCTGCATCAAGGCAAAGAATAACTCAAAGGAAGAAGAGCTTGTCTGAGAGCTGGATGGCCGGCTCTGAGTGAAGGTACTGGCCAGACAGGAAAGCCAGTTTGTGGGCATATTTGCAGGGTGCTGGAACGCGAATGGTGCCGGGCCAGTTCCAGTACAAATGGCACATCTTGAAGGTCAACCTGGCAAGACACCAAATCAACAATGAAGTGTTTTTGAACTGTACACACATTCACAATAAATCCCAATTTGTGTGGAAGATACACAAAAAAGAAATCACAGCAATACTTTGGAAAACAATAGACTCGAGGTAAATACCAGTGAGGCTTAAAATAAAAGGGGGGTGGTGGTTAATTACTTGAAAATGCATCTAGTACAGTTCCAAGATATAAATGTGTACAGAACCACTCAAACTCCTGACACACAATCTCTACTCAGCTCTACTCCATTTGTGTTTTTGCAAGTATGGTCTACTACTCTGGCAACAGGAAGGTTTTTTTCCTTTTAGCAGGAGGAAACCTTTGGGCAGTACTAGGCTCAGGGAGGCTCAGCCATCTGCCAAGACCAGCTGGGGGATACAGGTCCAGACTAAACAGTAGAAGCTGATGTTTGACTGATTGTGTGTCTTACTGACAACTGGAGGCTGGGCAAAATTTTGATATCAAAATGCACGATTTTGCTACATCTTGGGACATGATTGGCACCAAAAATCTCTTTTTATTCAAACACGTATCAGCTCTGAACTGACAAACACGCTATAAACGCTATAAACTTATTGGAGATCTTAGGCTACGTTCACACTGCAGGCGAAAGCGCATCAAATCCGATTTCTTTGACCCTCTGCGACCCATCTATCCGATCATGGTATGACAGTGTGAACGGCACAAATCCGATATTTTCAAATCCGATCTGGGTCACTTTTGTATGTGGTCCGGAATCCGATACCTATCCGATGTTTTAGAAAGCGACTGCTGTTTGAACGGTCAGGTCGCATTAAATCCGTCTTTTACGTCACTGAGAGAAGACAGACGCCAATTATCAGCACCGGAGAAGACGTCGTGAACACTTCCTGACCATCCAGTGTAGATGTTAGTGAAACTGTTGGGAAGACAACGTGAACATTTTATTTGTACTGTATAATCTGCAGATTCTGACAGAAAGCACCGCTCCTCTAAAACAGCAATAAGGATCATTATTAGGTTATCT